GGACTCGTGAACTGTACTCGATCTGCAGTCGGTTAAACGTCGTCAGCTAAACCAGGCGCTCATGCATTTTCAAACTCAGTGGTCGCTGCTCACACTCACATTGATTGCATTCGTGAGACTACCATGGATATAGAGTCTCGAAGGATTAGTTTCCATGGATAGCCTGAGCTTCCATCTACGTCACCATAGATCGTCGCGGCACCGGACAGCGCACATCAGAGAGGTCCATAATCCTGATGGCATCTGCTAAAGAGATCCTTCTTGATTCCTAGCACTTGGACTAGAATCGAATTGATACATTCGTTGATCTGGCCACTATTGCTTTCTAGGAATATTTGACACTTGACTAGGACCACTCTTTGCCCTAAAGACCGCGTCAATGAACCTTCTTCTTTACGGCACCTTTTCACTTTCGGCCTAGTTTTTTCACATTCCTGCAGCTCTTTGACCATTGAGGCGCGTGTATTGACTGTAGGTGGTATAGTGTACGCTACCCATTGCAGTCGGCTACTGTTCGTAGTCATAGAGACAACAGGATCCTGTTGCTGATGCCCCCAATTAATATTTAAATTACAGAATATACCCTTTACTGTACAAATTACAATGGAACCTATCCTTTTCTGTGTGTGGCTTCGAATCTGCCTAAAGGTAGGCGACCCTCGCAGTATTCTTAGCCCACGTTCGACCGATGGTGGTTGCGCTGCAGCGAAGCGTCGGTACTGTGTACCGGCGTACTATCGATGCCTTTGCTGTGGTGAGACTTGGCTCCTTGTTCGGATTTACCTCTTTGACCATCGTTGATCCTTATACCTTGTTAGTGTCTAACATCGTCTAAGTGTCCGTGCATGTGTACCATGGTTTTATGACGATGACCTACTTATGTGCATAAGTAGATGCGATAGAATAACCCACTACCTCAAGCATGTCCTACCCTGCCTACCTTCGGCTTACCGGGAAAGCCTTGTTTTGATTACGAACGAGTAGACGGATTTGGGTATGATTCGATTTGATTCATCGCAATTTGATTCCAAGCCGCATAGGTAAGCTACTAATCCGGAAAACCATCAGACGCGCGTTTCGCCCTATTGGGGCTTGTCAGTGGTACGCATCCATCAGACCCTTACTGGGGATCGAACCAATGACCACTAGAGGCTAACACCAACCCGACACATCCTCCACTGCCGTGCAGGTTATTGCCCGTGCAGAGGACAGTGGTTGGCCGTCAAGGTCTGTTCTTCCCTTGCCAGCGCCGTGAATCCACACAGCAATTTTGAATACTGGTACTGGGTTGGGCTATATCACAGTTAGGTTTCAATTGGTAATGATCGGCTGTCGTCTCCCATGGCTCAGTCGCATAAACCGCTGACTAGTTGGCGTTATCCTCTAGCGGTCATGGGTTCGATCCCCATTAGGGGACCGATGGATGCGCACCACTGACAAGCCCCACTAGGGCGCAACGCGCGTCTGGTGCTTTTCCGGATTGGTAGCTTACCTGTGGCTTTGAATGTAATTGCGATGAATCAAATCGAAAGCCTTGTTTTGTCTATCCAATGTAGGATGACGTACGGTCTGAGGTGGACAGCCAGCGGTGTTTGCACTCACTGACCACCGGGTTGAATACTATTAATCTATTCTGCATTTCAGACTAAGGCCAGCGAGATGTAGCTTGTATTTTGCTGGTTACATCACCTGGCTGGACACTGACCTCGCTTTGGTAAGGCATCAGAAGTACGATGGCACATAGTACCAACTCTTCGCTGTCATGCGACGACCATCACCACCAGTCGCGCGTGGGTTGAGTATGCCGTGAGATCGCCCGAATCCACACGCGTTCGAACCAGTGACCTCCGGATTGATTACAAGGCAAGCGCGTAACTCTTTCGGCCGGTGACCGAAGCTATTCGCCGTTGATTCCTAGCCAAACCGTCTACTTTGAGTTCAATTACTCCTGTTAGCCGATGAGCATTATTGATTGGGTTGCGGGGTGGTGATAAAGCCTCAGTGGACTTGTTTCTCCGATGCCACTTTATCTTCACTCAACATTTAGCTGTTTGTACCTCTGTTCACGAGGTTTAGATGCATTGACTGCGTATCCGTTCATAACCTTTAGCTGTTAACTTAGATGGCCCTTCACTTTTTGTTTTTCTCAGCTTGTCTCGGTTTTGCTTTTTATGCAGTGTTGCTATTCGCATTTTGCTATCGATTATTCTTGTCGGACCCAATTTTCCTTTCCGTACTGATATTTTCACCTTCCATTTCAGGTTCCTCTCTTCCTTGGTGTTAGGTTTAGGAGTACGCTTCAGAATGACGGCATTAATTACACGCCTATTTCCGTTTCTTTTTATCTACTTTGGTCCGACTTTGGCTTTCCCGAAGCGTGTTACCTTTGAATTGCTTGATGGCCAATCTCGATGTTTCCATGAGGCATTATCACCTAAAAAGTACGTCTTCATGTACCAGGTGATTTACGGTGGACAAGCGGATGTGGATATCTCCGTGAAGGATTCGCGCAAGAGGGTGATTTCACAGGCTGAACGTGCCACTCACGATGAGGTCGTGTTCGCTCTAGACCATAACGATACATACTCATTTTGTTTTGATAATTCCTTCTCACCGATGTCTCACAAGTTGATCTATTTTGAGCTCCGACCGGAGAGCTTTGAATCTTTGGCCGAAGAGGCTGGAGGTATGCATCCCCTCGCACCGCTTACTTTCATCGAAAACGAAGTGGAATTGGTTCACTTGTTCCTGTCTCGAGCTGAGTCATTGCAAGTTGAACTGAAGAACCGCGAACTCGGTGATCGCTTAGTTGCCGAGGAGTTGAATACGGCAGTTCTCATGTGGAGCAGTGTCGTCACCGTAGTGATTGTTGTGACCACGTTGGGGCAGGTGGCAATATTAAAAAACTTTTTCAGTGATAAAAAGTCGTTTCCTCACCGCATGCCTCATTCCTAGCCGAATACCTTGATGGAGCTGCGTGAAGCGACAATGCCACTCATTAGTCCTGTGATAGCAGCAATTTCCGTGCCGCTTGGTTTTTCTTGTTCTCTGCTCCACGATCACTACCCACTACAGATTGCCGATCGCCGCCTCACGTCACCCTTGTCATGTTCCATGGCCTAACTCCACGCTGTACGGGCTCTTTTTTACATTTTCTCTCGTTCATAGTTTGTAAACACACATTTGAATACTGTATTGCATTGTTCTTGTTTGAAGCCGAATGAGAGAACTTACACGTATTCACCTGTATGCATTTGATGTCTCCTCGTTATTTTGCCCTCCCGTTCTTCTAAACCCCTACGTGCGCCGCTCTCTACCGATTCTTGTTTAGAATCGATTCGAAGAACCCACTAACTTCCATGCTAGTAAGTTGCTGGTCACGCATACCGTGGAATTGCTCTGATTCTTCTCATCATAGAGGCCAACCGAAGTCGTCTAGTTTTGCGTTTACACAAGACAAACTGGTCACTAGATTGGGAGATTTCCAGTTTACTCCTCTAATATTCATATAGAAACCTGTTTTATCCGCTTCTGGGTTTGAATCGTTTATTTTTCGTTTGAGCGAGTACTTGCTGACAAGCTTACAGGGTTATAATGATGACATCTTGGGGGTCACGACCATCACTGAACTGAGCTTGCGAAATGCTCCTTGTTCACTGTTTTGCTGCCCGATCTCAAGGACAAAGGGAGTCTGTACACGGAACGTTTGTTGACCTGGTAAACTGACGCATACTATCACATCTGTTACTCATTAAACGATAACATCGATCTTGATTGTCTGCTTTTCCGGGTAAACCAACCAACTTGCAACTGGTTGTTACGAAATATCGCAAAACCGGTTAACTTCATGGTAGTACTTTGCTCTAGTTTAGTTTGTCATGCAAACGAGCCAGCCTCCGTCGTCGACCCTAAAAAATCTTCGATGATATGCAATTCTCATTGCATTGACGGGTCACTGCACAAGCCATCACACTAATCGGAACCGAGTTCTCATCAGCCCTTCGCACGACTTTACATGTTGGTCTCGTAGTATCAACCTAGGCTTGTACATCGCTTTCTTTCATGGTTACACATACTCAGTGCAGGACTAAATGGTGATTAGCCTCTGGCTTGTGCACAGTAGACGGTTCTCACGGCGGGATTAGATGCTATTCTCTGGACTGTGCATCAGTTTTCACATACATCGTCGGTGATCGTTATGTACATATGTATCCTTAGCGACTACACAGTTATATTTTCTCGGAACCAACACTTTTCAAATTTTTGTTTTTCTCGTTGTTACCATTCGATCTGCTTTGTCTCGTTTTCTGCTATTCTCTTTTTTGTTCACCCCCTCCAAGTAACTCTGTTCCAATTAGGCACCGTGCAGTGGCCAACAAGCGTGCACTACTAAACAGCATTCTCATTTTCGTTACAATTTTACGCTGCCTTCGTTTTCCATGTTCTTTTCGGCCTCCCTCTCGCAAACTCCCAGTAATCGTGCGTCGTTCCTTAATAACAGCTGTTTAGTGACCAGATTTCAGCCTAGCTTAATCGTCACATAATCAGACAGAGCCGTGATGAGACGGGAGCTACAGACGTCGGCGGGGTAAACGAGGTGATCATCTTTCATTTTCCAGCTTAGAGTACCGACTACGTGTCCAGGTTACGAAATCGACACTCTTTTGCCTGGGACACAGTTCCGGTGATCATAGTGGCTAGAGTCTCCTTCAGAGTAAGCCGTTATTGAAATTGAGATTGCCCATCGTACTGGAAACAGCGTAGGCTCCTGGAACTGGCTGGATCTGCTTACAGAACTAGTTAACCTGGGAAATGCATATGTCGACAACCACGATGTTCCGGATTCGATTTTCCGTTCAGTCAATCTCTGCCCAGTCCCGGACTGTATAGTCTGTGCATGACTGCTCCTTGTCTTGGTGGAAGACCAAGACTGACGTTACATCCGCTGTTGTAACCAGCGCTATAGCTTTTTAGGAGTGTCCTCTAACCTCTTACTGTAAATGCTCTCGCATGAAAGGGAAAATCTTAGTACCGAACTTCCCAATATTCCCGGAATCGGTTATGGAGTTAACGCTCTTTCTCCCCCTGTCGCAATCAATGGGGGTGTCATGCACATAGTAAGTGCCACCACCTTACGCGTGTAACTTAAGCTTGATCTCTTTCACTGTCTGTGTCCGATAAACTACGTTTCCATTCAACATCAGCTAAACTAACAAGAATGTACCCGACTTTACTTTTCCGTAGACAGCTGATGTTGTTATTACATATGGACTCTGCAGTCACTATTTATCAACATAGTTTGTAATCACGTCAGCACGTTGAGAGATGTGCCGGGCTTTCCAATCGCCAGTAAGCGCGTATTTCCCAGTAAGGATTCATGTGTTAATGCCAGCTGCCTATCCGATTGACTTTGCGTTATGCAAGAGAGATTAGTGCAGATATTAATGTTATCTTATTGCTGATTCATCGATAGATATCGCAGACTTTCGCCCAACCGTCTCTTCAAATCTGAAGACAGCCGCCCTTACAACAACTTTTATTGACGTCCTGTGAGTACTGGTGGTCAAAATGGTTCTGAATTCATAACCTAGTTATATTAACGAAAGCCTTTGCCACTAAAAATTCTAGAATCAACCCAAACTCTTATTAGCTATCGCTGGCCACTTCAATTCAAGCTGTATTAATCCAACACTGTTGAATCAAGCCTTTGGCGATTTCTGTGAACATGGTCCGCCGTCAACTTATTAACCGGTTTTCAGAAATCCTTTATTCCTAGGTCGCCATGTAAAAACGAAGTTGGGTTGAGTGGTGTACAGTTTCCTAGCGAGTGCTAGAACTGAGCGGCAATTGTGCATGAGGATTCTACACCCATGCCAAGTCCTCTTTTGTCAATCACGCACTGCTACTGAAGCCGAATTGCCTCTTGTCTTTCAATCTGCACTTTTATTCGATCACTCCCATTGTCTTCCCTGTACTGTCGACCACAGCTCATGATGACATCATCCGGCCACCTTGGGATGCGCGCATCCAACGACTTTCTTCTGCTCATTGTGCGTTTCGCATTGCTGACAGAATCATTAGTCCTATAACCATTACTGCTACGTCGTTCTGTGCCCCTACTGCACTCCTCACTGCTTACGCATCTCCATCACACGCCAACCTCATCTTTGCCAATAATTCCTTTGAATCTACCTCTAATGACAGCCTCACCCATCTTCAAATAGTATGACCAGTGGCCCTCCTTCGACCTCGATCTCCATTTCAATTGGCAGCCTTCAACACTGGGACCCTTATACAGATCGGACAACAATCCGGCCTAGCACACCTCCTGGAGTCCCTCGCTATTGTTATAACTGATCTTTCTGATACTCGGTTACCGGACTACAACGCCATACTTAAGTTGACCTTCTCTGTTGTTCTCTGGACCAAATATTCCCTGCATTTGTCTGGTGACACAAAAGCTGTTGCAGCTGGATTGGGTGGTGTTGGCATCGCATTGAGTGACTAAGCTGAGGCCTCGCTGCTTTATTGATTCCTGACTGGCTGCCAATTGTGTGCGGTTCGACTTCACTGTCCATGTAGGACCAATAGGCGTCGTACAGGGAGACCCGGTTTGTTTGTAGTTTCCGCCTACGCTCCAACCGACTACATTTGTGCATCGGTTAAGGACGACTTATGGCGGGCTCCACCAACTTTTGAGTAAAGTCGAATTATTCGATGTCATTGACCTTACGAGAGACTTCAATGCACGGGTCGGTCGCTTGCCGTCACGCAAACGTCATCTTAGTGGCCGTCATGCTGTTGATGAGAGTTGCTCTTATAACGGAGATAGGCATCTCACGTTATGTGAGGGCAGCCAGCTTTCTAGCGAGCACGAGGAGACGCGCTGCTACTTGGCGTCCCCCTTCGCCAACATAAGCGTGGTCACGAATTATTCACATTGCAATTTGCTTCAGATGGCGAGGCAGTGTACGGGATGGTCGATCAATTTAGCTCACCTACTTCGACTTAGATCACGTTTTGGCCTGTGCAGACGTCTACATGCGCTTTGTTGGTTTCTCGAAACCAAAGCACCGTACGCTGGATACCAACAGGTTTGCTAACCCCTTCACTCAACTGGTCTATCAATCCTTCTTATCAGATACGCTGGCTTGTGCTCCACCTACAGAGGTCGAACATCGCTGGAATTGCTTGCAGAAAGCATCGCCTTCTTCCGCTCAGTCATACTGTGGAATCGCTGGGCGTACTCTGAGAGGCTGGACCTCTGCTCGCTCTTTAGAATTGTTTGACCGTTGCCTAGCTATCCCAGCTGATTCAACTTGTCGTGGCGTCCGCCGCTGCCTCATCCAACAAATCAAGTGAAGCTTCGTAACGATCGTGAAACTTAGTCTCAGCACGTTTCGGAGATGGAAACAGCCGCTCTCCGGAAAACTTTTGCGAGCTTTTCGAGATTATTTGTACCACTGGCCACAGAAGAACTGGCGTCAAAAAAGATATTCACGAAGTTGCTGGATCACCAACCACTAATTTGCGTAGGCGCATGGACCGCTGGGTTGATCACTTCCAGTCTCTGTTCAGTTGGCCTTCTCTTTCGGGTTGTTTAACAACAATACCTTGGAACCTTTCACTGGGAGCACCCACCGAAGCGGAGATCTGTCTTGAGCATCGTCGTTTGAAGTGATTCAAAGCTGCTGCTTCAGACGAACTTCCTTCAGAGCTATTCAAGTACGACAGTGAGGCAATTATCAACCAGTTACCAGCGCTGTTCTTCAAGATTTTGTGTGAAGAAAAGGTTCCTGCTTCTTTGGGCGTGTCAATTATCGTACCCATCTTCAAAACGATTGCTCATACATCATCATGCGCTAGCCACAGAAGAATCAATAGTATCCATCGCCTCTAGATTGCTAACATCCATTCTACTCCGCAGGCTAACACGGATACGAGAACTACACTCCCTTGAGGAACAGGTTGGTTTCCGTCCCGGTGGAGGGTGTGTGGATCACATGTTTAGACCGCCAACTCATTGACCAACAATACCTTTATCTCTAGCCTACCACTATCGCTTTTTTGGATAACTGAGCTTCGTTCGACTGGATCGATCGGCTTACTTTATGGCGTTTGCAAAAATGGGGTATTCGAGAATTATACCGCCATCTTTCGGGCCTTGTACGACAACGTCTCTGGCAGTGTGAGAACTCTCACAGTAATCTTCCTTCACCTTTACTCGTCACTAACGGTGGCATAGAGCTTCCAGGCAATCGCGCAACTGACTAGGACTCTACTGATGATATTACTTTGGTCGGTGAGGACTTACAGATCATGCACGTCGTTCTAAACTTCTTAGTGATTAACCTACCATGTATGGCATGACTTTCATCCCATCGAATTGCAAGATCCTAATCCAACATTGGCATCCACCTGATCCTTGCTGATTGTTGAAGGCGCATAGCTTGAACATGTGAATAACTTCATCTACCTTGGGAGCTGCGTGTTTTCAGATGGCACCATTGGGAGAGAGATTTCTCTTCGTATTGCTAAATCACAACCAGCTTTCGCTGATCTGATGCATCTGTAGCGTCGTAGTGACGCTCCGTTCTCATTCAAATGCAGGATCTACACTGCCTTTGTTTGCGCGGTATTATTGTCCGAAAAAGAGTCCTGGCAGCTCCATGTACATGATTTGCGTCGGATTCCGGCCTTTGATAACGGTTGTTTGCGGAGGATAGCTCATGTGTGATTGGGACACTATGTTTGCAACGACGATGTTAGACCTCATGTCCCAGGTACTACGGGTCTCCCTCCCGACAAGCTAATATCGCTGTGCCAACCGTGGTGGCTAGGTCACACCCTGCGCATACCGTGCGAGTGTTGGCCACGGAGTTCGGTACTCGCTCGCGCAGGGCCACACTGGAAGCAATCGCGTAGTGGTCAGCCTGTCACATGGTAACAAAATGTCACGTTGACCTCCACACATTGTTGTTATCGGTCCCGTACGTCTTCTGGACTGGGAAGTCAAGGATGAAGAACGTCGCCGGTTGGAGACTCTTTAGGACATGGCTCGTAATCGGGGCCAATGGAAAGTTCGTATAAGTTGATGCATTGATTCTACTGATCAACACCGTACTCACTGAATGGACAAAAAACAAAACAGCATGTGAAAAAAGCTTTTCTCCATGTTTTCCGCTTTGTGATCTTTGTATGTATTTTGCATATTCATTCCACGGTCTTCGATGGCTCTATGCCTATTGCATAGACCGTTGCTCATTGCGCTTATCTTCGGTAACTTTGTTGCGTTTGTAGCATTTTTAAGTAACTTGTGGACATTTTTTATTTATCGCGGATTCGTTACTAACCAACTTACTTCATATGGTAATTTAGCGAAAAGTTTTGCCACCGTATCTGTATGCATTATTGGATTTATTTTATTTCAACTTGTCGTTTCAAGTGATTGGCTGTTGCTAGATATCCCCGGTGTGGCTGCGCTTGATGTGCATGTTGACAAGGTGCCTACCTGTCTATTACCCACTACCTCTTCCATACTGGCTCCAGGAGACAGTTTATCGTTGCTGGAGGGGACGGGGTGCATGGTCCTTGTGGCCGTGCTAGACTCAAAGAGCGGTTCCATTCACTCAGTGTGGAGCGGACTACGGTCCAGCCACCGCCTTGTGTGCCCTTGATTCCTTAAATACAAGGTGCTTATGTTTGCCTGTGAATGAGTGTAGGCCGGCTCCGTTGATGAAACGTGGCTCCCATCCACATGCCTCCCGGTCCTATTGCTTCAGGTTTACATTAGATATGGGGTGTGTGGGTGGTGCATCGCAAGCCACCCGTAGTCTCTCTGTAGGCGCAGGCGTCCTGTGGCTGGCCACAGTGACAGGCAAATCCGAAAGCGGATGCCGCCAACCATATATATATATATATATATATATATATATATATATATATATATATATATAGGACTAAACATCCTACTTCTTAATTTTACGCTCCTGGGCTTTTTGGCCTGGTTGTGAGGGATCGGGTATGCTGATCGAAATTCTGCTAGTGGCAATACTGAACTATAGTATTAGCGCGTCTATCGAAGGTTGAAGCGGTGAATCGGTTGTTTTGTGATTTTCCGAATGCTGAAAACCTGATTTAATACGCTCAACCTGGATTCAGTATGGAATAAGTTCATGAATTTAGACTAACGTTGAGGCCATCTGATGTTGTATTGTTTTAGTTTTAGCACATTAACCGCACCGAACATGATGGCTACTTTACAGTTTATCCATACTCATCGAGGGCAACCTGTCCAAAACTCCATCACACACTTGCTTTAGGATAGTTCCGGATTGTGTTTGTGTTTCCATCGATGGACGTGGAATTTTCTGCACATGTTTTATTCCGTTAAACGACTCTGATCCGGACACCAATGTGCGGTTACTTCAGTTGTCATGAACCTTTCGACTAATCAAGGGAGGCGGATTCTGAGTAAAGAATTCGTTTTCTGTAATTCTCATCAGACTCAAACACTACATGATGACGACAAGGTGCTAGCTGTGCTAAATGTGTAATTCCAACAGGAACAAATCAACAAATCGCAGGGTCATTGAGTGTGGCAAATTAAGTACAGGGAAAGTCACAGCAGAAATTGTAGGTCACGCTAGATGTAAAGGACGTACAAACAGTTTTGTGCGCACAATTCCGGCTTTAGATGGCGGGCATAGATAGCTTCCACCATAGATAGGAGATGCTTCCGGAATCCACGCGAGAAACATTCATGGATAGTATAAATGACTCCGAAATCCTTTTCGTTCTTTTGATTCGTTTTATTAAATGGGAATATTTTGTTTGCTGCAGATAAGGATTCCCTGTGATTCAGTCAAGCTTTTGAATGAGTATCTGAAGTTCAGTGCTCAGTATGAAGAGGCTGAGGCTTAGTTGAGGTTCTTCAACGAGTGCTTACACTGCTGATATCCAAAACACTTATGGAGAGAAATACATCGGTGTGGTCTCTATCCGAATGTTCGCAACTTGAGGAGGCACACGCTCAACTATCTGGATAACATTCGCACGGAACTACCGGAGGTGGAAAAGTTCATCTCACAACTGATGCATGCCGTCATAGGCCTATCGGAAGCATGTGTAAAATAAATTAAAAAGCAAAGGGATGCACAAAAAAGAAAAAAACTTACTTAGCTCGTTAACTAGCCAACTGCCGCAACTGAACTTTCCGAGTAACCCTGAGCCGTACGTGTTTAACCTTTCTAGTATCGTGCCTAGCCTGTTTAGCATCAGGCGTTAAGTTTTGCGTTCCTTGCAAAAAGTTGACCACGCTGCATTAGAGGTGCAATTTGAAAGATTAATAGTGCAGGCGCGAGACCTGTTACCAAATTCGCCAGGGAACATTGAGGACAAGTTACCCAGCTTAGTAAACACCTGACTTGAATACATTAAGGCTAGACCAGCCAGTAGTGCTATTCTTACTAGTGAACAAATACAGTCACAGAGTTATGGTCAAACATCATCATTATCAATACACGTTGGTTGAGGGCGAGAAACGCATATTAGCTAATGTACCGCAATACAATAAGATAAGATACCGAAAAGTTACACAACGAACAATTCAAAAGCAGGTAATATTGTAGAGGGGCCGCTTCCAAGAATGGCTCTGGGGAGCTCTTCGGAGCTAGCTGAGAGCGGATCGCGAAAGACGGCTAGCGACGAGCCTGGGCCCGGAACTACGGAGCGGGAACATGTGGACAGCGCAATAAATCAGACAAATACGCCGCTAGCGCAGCCCACAGCACCGAGGCCGAGCCGATTGACACAGGTG